GAATCGTACGGTGTCGAATAATTTGGTGTCAAATAAATCTGTGTCGAATCGAGCGGTGTCGAATCGTACTGTGGTCAATAGAGTATCACCCGTTCTAACCTACCCTCCGAGGAACTGTCAGGGTGCTGCGATGGAAGTTGCTGCAAATATAATCTTAGAAAAGAGTTTTATGACAGGAGGTGGGTGATTAGAGTACAAACAACGATTCAAACAAAATAAAAGTATTAATATTTCTCTGACCGTAACTGCTCTGCACACGGGTAAAATGACTGCGTGCAGAGCAATGTAGATTAATAAAAAAAATAAAAAGTTATGTCAAAGAAATAAAAGATAACCACTTATTTACACCCACTTTCCCGTAGAGACAGCAGCAGCACCAAGACCTATATAGAAAAAAGGAAATAAAAGAAGACAGAAATTATCTTTTATAATTTTTCTTTTTATTTAAATAATTGTCCGTTACGTACAAAACTCCTGACACAAACACAAAGGATGATGCAGCAGTTTACACAGACAAACACCTGGCAGGCGACACACACGAAAAATATAAAAATAAAATACATAATAAGCGGACGCGCACTAGTAATAAATAAATAAACAACAAATAAATAAAACAAAATAAAACGCGTATACGCGTTTAACAAGCCCGCCAGGTGTCTCACTTCGCCTACCCGAAAAATCACATTTCGATGAGACCGAGCCGGCCTAGCCCCTAGAGCCGAAACGAAAAATAAACTCACTTTTACGAAAACTGAATATCCTCCTCTCTTTGACAATGAAATTGCCTCCTCCGGGCCTCCTGGGTGGTCACACTACACGGAAAACGCCGCACTCGCGAAAAGTCATTTTTTCGAGAAATAGCTTTTCTCGAAAATTCGCTTTCGGCCCGGTAAGGCCTCACTGGCTTTAAAAACAGGTTTATTAAACTGATTTTTGGAACTGTCTTTTTATTAACAAATGCTGGGCCAAGCCCAGCTGTACTGCAGTGCTGGAATGACCCGCGATGGAGCCGGAGCAAGCTCCGGGCGTCCGTCCAGTTCCAAAAATCAGTTTAATATTCTNAAACCGCTTTGCGGTCTGTATCAGATATTAAGCTGATAAGAACAGAGTAACTTTGGTTTTATTTAGCACTTAATGTTCCCCGGGGGGACAAGCTTCCCCAGGGTGGAATACAAAACAGTGTGAGGGCGGACGCTGCCGCCCACGTTCGCGCGCAAAAATTAAAACATAAAATAAGCCGGGGACAGAACCCCTTCGGCGAGGAGGCGCAGAAAAACTCCGTGAAAAAGGGAACATACTTACCCTCTCCAGTGAAGGGTAAGATGCACCCTCTCATCACGGCTAGGGTGATTGAGATAAAATATCGCCCCAGCTAACCGGCTGGGGCAATATTCACAATGTGCGCTAGTTGGTAAGCATTGTACATACTACCATGATCAAACAATAACCGGAATTTTTAATTTAAACCTCGCTTATCGGTTTAGAATTCTGTTGTTTGTGTCACGTTGGCAGTACTGTTACGGACACCCATGCCAAGCTTCTGCTTATCAGCTGTTCATTTACCTTTATGACAGTGATTTCTTTACATCAAGTTTTTACGTCGCGGCGATTTTTCCAATGGATTCAAAATTTGAACAAGTTCTTGCAGTAAACTTTTGCTATAAATATAAAATTAAGTGTTCCGACACATTCAAAATGTAACAAAAGTGTTATGGTGACGATACTCTATCGAAAACACAGGTGTACCAGTGGTATGAACGCTTTAAAAGTGGTCGTGAGGCTGTTGAGGACGATGCTCGTCTTGGGAGGCCATCGACATCGAAAACTGATGAAAACGTCGATGAAATCCGACAATTGTTGATCGAAAATCGCAAATTGACGATAAGGGAGATAGCTG